TTCTTGGATAAGGTATGCTTGGATACTCAAAATCTACCAATTGCCTGCTGACGGATCCAAGAACGCACTCGGATACGCCGCCATCTTCGGTATCAAAGAAGATGCTCACCTCAAGCCCCAAGAGTACAGCTGGCTAAGCAGTATCTTCTACTTCGGTTACCTCGCCATGGAGTTCCCCAATCTGTGGCTAATGACAAAGATCCCCATCGGCAAGTATGTCGGTAGCTGCCTCACTCTATGGGGTATTGCGCTATGCTTCATGGCGCTCTGCCATAACTTCGCGGGACTAGCGACTATCAGATTCCTTCTCGGTGTTTTTGAGGCTGCTGTACTACCTTGCATGATGATCATCAACTCCATGTGGTATTTGAGGAACGAGCAGCCTCTGAGAACGGCGTTTTGGTATAATACTTTTGCTGGCGTGTTTGGAGGCATTCTGTCTTATGCCATTGGGCAGATCAATGGATCGCTATCCACCTGGAAGGTTAGTGACTATCATTTCAAGGTATACTTCTGTGCTGATAAGAGATTGTAGTACATCTTCCTCATCTATGGATCTTGCACCATCCTGGCTGGAGCTCTCGTCTTCTTCGGTCTTCCAGATACTCCCTCGAAGGCGTGGTTCTTCACTGAAGAAGAGAAGAAGCTTGCAATGATCCGCCTAGCACCCAATCAGACCGGTATCGAGTCAAAGAAGGTACGTAGGAATTTATGTTCCATCACATAAACTGAGGCTTACATAAATCCAGAAATTCCAAACTGCTCAGATCTTGGAGGCTCTTCGCGACCCCAAATGCTACTGCATCTGGCTCGGCGTCTTTGGCTATGCCCTCGCCAACGCAGGCATCACGAACTTCAACCCTCTGATCATCGCTGGCTATGGCTTCAGTAAGACCAAGACTGTTTTGATGGCCACTCCTCAGGCAGCAGTTGCGATGATCAGTCAGGCTATTCTCACCACTGTTGCGTTCTTCATTCCCAATCTGAGGTGTATCTTCTGGATCTTTGGTGCGCTGATGGGTCTTGTCGGAGCTGTCATGGTGCATTCTCTTGATGTTGCGACACAACGCGATGCGTCTTTGGCAGGTGTCTATCTCATGGGCTTCTACAACGTCCCTTGGGTCTTTCTGCTCAGTCTCTCTTCCTCGAATACTGCTGGTGCGACAAAGAAGAGTTTTATGGGTATCTCTATCGCAATTGTCTACGGTATGTGCCCATCTCATTGTTAATCACGTCGATTCCGTCCACTAACTGAAGGTTTCCAGCTGTTGGCAACATTGTTGGACCTCAGTTCTTCCTCGACAGACAGGCACCTACGTATGCCCTCGGCATCGGTTCTATGCTTTTCGCATTTGTCTTGATGGCTGCCACTGGTCTGTCGTACTATGTTCTTTGCGGTATAGAGAACAGGAGGCGCAACAAGCAATATGGCAAGGCTCATGACGACACTGATGTTGGACTGGAGGCGGAAAGGAGTGACAAGACGGATTGGCAGAATCCCAACTTCCGCTACACTTACTAGAAGAGCCTGGGCTTTTCTCGAGATAGATTGCTTATAATTAATTCATAAGTTGATAATACGTACAATCTTACCCTGCTCAATTGTGAACTGGTTAATGAGACGCGAATGTTCGCGTATTAATTTCGAGAGTTCATTTTTATGACTTTGTGATACAGCACCTTTAGTAGATCTTTGTAGATTATTTGTTAAATAGAAACCTTATAGCCGCAATGACTTACAAGGCGTTGCACATAGTGATTTGAAGGAGATCAAAGGTCACGCGTCGGAAACCAGAGACATACAAAGTTGCGGCATACTTCAGTGGGGCGCCCCGTGATCGGTCCAAGAAGAGGCTACCCTGTATGTTGTTTTGAAATATCGATGTTTGCTCTGGAATGAACGTGTTGATGGGCTCACTATGAGATATAATTCAAGGTAAATAAACAACATATAGTAAAAAAGCCAATTTCATATAACTCGAACTTCATCGCTGAATTATTCTTTGTGAACCACCACGTACTCCAAACTGGACGTGTAATGATTCACATCAAGCAGTCGAGGTGCTTCCTCAAGCTTATCGATAAACAGATATCGGATAACGCCGAGATACCGCTCGGCTCGGTAGTTGCATAATTCCGATCCGTTATGGCGTCAACCATAATGGGCCCACTGTTTTCGGATGGGTGCGAGACATTTAGACTTGGCTATTATCCTTGCTCACCAGGAAGAAAAAGAATATCGTTACCCTAAGCAATAATGTTCCATGCTTTCAACTCTTCAACCATCTGTTTCGAAAGCGTGCAGTCGGTGTCGATCACGTAAGGTTAAAGTGAGTTCATCTACAGGCAATAGCAAGCTCCTTTGAGACTCTCGGCTGACACCGAGTCTAAGTGCGACCTCAGAGTTCCGCAGTGTACAGCATGTGCACGACAGAATGAAGCATGCAACATCACAGACTGTGTTTCTTACCCGTACACAGTTGTGAAAGCTCTTCAAGATAGGATCAATGACCTCGAAGCAAGACTCAGACTGGTCCCAACACCCAATGAGATCGTTCCTGAGCCAGAGCCAGAAACCTCGGAAGTGAATCCGGAACCCCGTGCTGATCTGCAGAAGGAGGCTGAAGAGGTGGGATTCCTCACCACGGGAGGATCAGATCTGTACTCAGGTAGCAAGTATGGTAAGTGAAGATCAATCATGATCACCAATTGGAGACCCTGCTGATCTTTGATCTGCTTCAGTCGGCAGCGCGGCCGGATCGACATTTGCGAGGATCTTCTTCAAGCAGCTTAATCTTGTTCCCTCGTGGGATTCCAAGAGTCAGGCAAGTGGTTTTAAACAGCCCCTGTGTGAAGCAACTGCTGCACTGCCACCTCAACCTATTGCAAGGGCTCTCCTCCACATCTACATCTCTAGGGTACACATCTGGTGGCCATTCTTACAGCTTCCGCATTTGAGAAGAGTCTTTCAGCGTATCTATGAGAGTCCCAGGCAGTGTAGTGACCATGAGAAGTTCACTGTGTTTGCTATCCTTGCGCTAGCAAGCTGTCAACTGACCACGAAGGATGCCCAGTCTCCAGCAATGATGGACCTCAACGACTCCAATGCATACTTTCAGACTGCATTGCGCTTCTTCAATAACTTTAGTGACCACCCAAGAGACCTCTTCGGGATACAAGCAGTGCTGCTCCTGGCGATATGGATGCTAGACTCGTCTCACAGCAGCCACAATAACGACCTCTGGCAGCTCAGCCGGTACATCATGTCGGCCGCCATAGAGGCAGGACTCCACCGTCACAACAAAGACTGGGGTTTCACAGCTGAAGAATTAGAAGTCCGGAATAGGACGTGGTGGTGTGCATACAACCTAGAGCGGTTAGTTGTCTTGCCCAATCGAGAGTTCTGACTCGACTGACCTCGCACACTAGACAAGTTGCGACCCTGACAGGGCGAGTCTTATCCATTCGGGACCACGCAGTCCACACCATGTTACCCAATCCAGCCACTTTCGATGCCCTGACACCACTTGAGAGTTCCATGGCCCCCGTTCTCCACAAGCACAATGTTGAGGTTATTCGTCACATCATTACATTGCGGAGAATTGGTGGTCGCATCCTTGAGTCGATCTACATAGCGAGAGGGCCGAGCGGCACGGCTATGGATACTACATTCCAACAGATTTGTGCAACCTCCGATCAAATACGGAGAGACCTTGAACTCTGGGAGCAGCAATTGGAGGCAATGGGACTGAAGCCATCTCGAGAGTACTCTGAGATGAAGATTGAGTACTGCCTTTTGCAGCTTCTGCTACACAGACCATCGCCGACATTCATGGTGCCATCACGCCAAATGGCGTCCTACTGTTCCAAGGCTGCATCGACTGCAATCAGTCACTGGTCCAAAATCGAGGGCGAATATGGCATTTCTGCTATTTGTCGATGTTTTAGACAGCTGCATGATATTGTCCTTGTCGGACTAGCGGCTCTTTACTGCGACTGGTAGGCTGAACGAGCTAAACGAGCTGAAGCCTGGAATGTGACTGACATGCATATCCTGCAGGCAAGCGATGGCCCTACCACAGACAGGAGATGATGCTCCGAGGCCACATCGACACTTCAACGACACTGCCATGTGCCTAGACCTGATTGACAGAGGAATTACTAATATGGGAGCTCCATATTTGACAAAGTACAAAGACTTGTTCCAGGCTGTGAGGAACAAAGTTTACGCCAAGACGATTTTCACCAGCATTAGTCCAGGGGCTATGAACTCGACCATTTCCCCTGGCACAATGTCACAAGGACTTATTTTTAATCCTAGCGATGATATAATGTTCTCGATGGGCGATGGGGTAGAAGCATATGTCAACCAAGTGAATGAGTTCTTGGATGGCGGTGGATTCAATGTTGACGAGGCTCTTGATGCATGGTACGATGCATTGATGGGAGAAATACAGAACGGAGATGCCCAGATGATGGAGTGATACTTCAGGGAAGAGAAAATGAAGAGTCAATTATCGACTGCAGATGAATAAAATATTGGTATTGACAATATTGCTGCAATTTTACGAGGCAACCAACAATATTAAAGTGTGGCTGATATTGACGTCGTCATCAATGAGACAACTGAACCGTTAGCTTGTAGTTGACAGGTGACAAAAGAGGCTAGCACGTCGTTGGCGCCGTTGTAAACCCCCTGTTCAGCTGGACGAGGCTCGAAATGGAGTCGCCTAGCCGATGCCGAGACATTGACTTGAGCCGCTGAAACAATGGACCAATCGCGGGGCTTCAGAATGAGTTTGGCCAACAAAACAAAGTGGATGAATTGTATTAAGTAAGGACAACTAATAGATCGATCCCCCAGCCAGTTCAATGCATGTCTCAGATACAGAATTACAAGGGCACTGTAAAATTCTGAAAGCTCAATAGATCGATTATTATGAGAAGAGAAACGCCACATTCTGACTCGACATGCCTCCGGATATCATTTACCCTTTTGACTAGATGTAGAGAGGATACAAGACCATAGCAGCAAAGAGGGCGGCTTTGAGGACAACAGACTTGGTCACCTTAGTTTCGGGCGCGTGGCCAGTAACAACGACGGCCGATGGACTAGCGTCATCAGAAGGAGATGCCGACTCGGATCCCGTTTCATCTCCGTCTCCGTCTCCGTGCCCGGCTTCATTACCCGCTGCAGTAGAGGCTCCGTTAGGTGCATCCACAGTGGAACTGTGAGAACTAGTGTCCGCACCTCCACCAGCGGGCAATTCGGGAGCGCCGGTGTTCTTAGGGCCATCGGGTAATTCGTCGCCTTTTCCAGCACCATCATGCTTGGCATCTGAACCACCAGAGCCCTGAGACGGTTTCTGAGCATCGGGTAATTCAGGACCACCGCGGGAAATCCATGGATACACGCTCTCAGCGGGGGAAACAGGCACGACGGTTTTGTGAACAACGGACGTGAAGACCGCAGTGAGAGTAGAGCCAGCCTTGGCGGCCCCACCGGGAGACCCCTGAGCAGCTGTGGCTGACTCGATAGGGAGAGTCAAAGTGGTTGTGACTGGGTGCTCGCCACAGACGTGACAGATAACGGCCGTGGTGGTGAAACCAGGAGGACACTCGGTGGAGGGAGGTCTCTGGCAGTGAGACGAGGCGCAGGGGGCGGTGATGGTATAAGTATGTACACCTGGACCATTGGGGCCAAGGGTTGGAAGGGCAGTGGTGTAGATGAGAGTGCCGCCGCCTGTCATCTGACCATGGCCAGAACCATCGGAACCTCCCGAGCCAGAGCCATGGGATCCAAAGGTAGAGGTAGGATGGAGACTGGTTACAGTGATAGGGGAAAGAGTGCTTGTTACAGTACAGTCTTCGGGGCTTGAAAGCTGTCCTCGCCTGATGGGGAGTCTGACGGGAAGCCAAGAGGCATGACTGACTGCGGGGAAGAGAAGAATGAGCGGAGTGAACAACATGATTAACGAGTGAAGCGGTGATATGTGCGTTGCTACTTTTCACCTCGAAAAGATGGTTGGAGTATTTATGTTTTTCACGTTGGCATGTCTCTAGCCTTTCGCAATGATCACGTATCAGGTGAAGCCCTCTCAACAACAACCACAACAAATCCGGCACGCGATCACCTGCAGTCTTGATCTAGCCCTCCCTCGAAAGTAGAAGAAAAGTTAATCACATCTCCAAGACTTGCTGGAATGTCCCCTGCATGGGTTAATGATACCATCACGACTTCCAGGCCCGCAGGAAGGACGTGATATCTGATGTCTTTCTGAACCAACTATCCGGATTGGGTTTGCACCTCGTCTATTCTAGACAATGATTGGAACTGCCAACGGGCATAACCAGCTGAAAATCATAACCGGAAGTAGAAGGTCTGTCTCGGCAATGCCCTTCGCATCAACGGGGATCGCTCCCTCAAGTCCCTCCCCTCCTATCACATCCCCGTTATATCCACTTTCACCCATATCCAGATCCCGCGGGTAACGACTTTGTCTTAGCTAGGGCAGAGTTAATATGACTTATACTTCAGACCCTCCGAATCATTACCAACGAGTCAACCAAAAGGATCCCCCTCAGCACCATCCCAAGACCTTACGATGCCTAAAGCAGACAGAGGGATATTTGAAAAGGATAGTATCAGGACATTCGAGGAATTTGGTGGCGTTATGAAGCGAGAGAATAACGAATACGGTTGATTTATTCTCGAGATAGCTTCTAAGCGAGGTGAGCTGAAAATAACTTCACTTGAAAGGTTTACTATCTTTGCATTCCTGACGGTATGTCTTCGCCCGGGCCCAGATGCTTACAGAATAACTCAACAAGACAAACCTTAGTTTGAACATGCCACTCTCGCGATATGTTCGCTTTGGGGAAGTCGTTCGTGATGTTCTCCATCCCCCTTTCTCAGAACCTTATCCATAAATATCAGAGTCTTCTGCAGTTAGAAGTCTCGATATCCATCAACATCACTCTCTTTCTTCATCTCTTTGTTACAACAATCGTTTTGGGTGTCATTCGTTTCGACAATGCGTCTTCGGCATTTCATCCCTGAGCTTCTGCTCCTGGGCTCGACTACCCAAGCTCGACCTACCGAAGAGTGCCCTGATGGGGTCTCTATCGTCAAGGTCCAGCCTGAGGTTATCGTTGGGCTTCAGCCCGTCAGTATAAGTGCTGTGTTCACTAGCAATACAGTCCTTACTATTGATGGGACTACGATTCCTATCACTGGTGCTCCTACTACCTTGGTCACTGCATTCACTATCACCAAGACTTCGACTAGGTACATCACTGGGTAAGTTTATCCGATGACTGAATCTCGGAAGAGACGGGTTCTAATGAGTTGCATTTAGTAACCCGGAACCGTATTTTACTGGTCCCTATACGACCATCACTAGTAACAACCCCGGATCGAACCCCACTACGATCACCCGACCGCCCTCTGGCAATGATCACACCGGAACCGTTATCATAGTCAACCCATCAGGTGGCTCTGGTGGCACAGATCCCGCCTTCACCGGACCGTATACGACTATTACAAACAATGGACCTGCTGGAAGTCACCCAACCACTCTGACTCTTCCTCCCTCGGCCAATGACCCCAGCGGAACTGTTATCGTGGTTGTTCCCTCTGGTACTGGTACTCAGAGCAAGCCTTTCACTGGTCCATATACAACCATCACGAGCGCTGGTCCGGGATCTCAGGCTACCACTCTGACACTCCCACCTTCTGGCACTGGTGGTGTTGGAACTGTCATTGTGATTGATCCAACTTCTTCTGGTTCCAAGCCCTCTTCTACCAACTCAGGTAAGTTCCCAGCAACGACTCTCACCATTCTACCATCTGGCACGGATGGCACTGGCACTGTTATCGTTATTGGACCTACGGCGTCTTCTGGATCTGGACATGCTTCCTCTGGTGGCTCGGCGCATACCACGGCTGGAGGCTCTGGTGTCCCCAACCCCAGCTCTGTTACTTCGAAGGGGACCTTCACTGGTCCATTTACCACCATTACTGGTATCAACACTGGCTCTACTGGTACAACCGTGACACTCCCCCCCTCTGGTACAGGCTCCATCGGCACTGTTATCGTCTTGGAGCCTAGTACAAGTGCTCAGAAGACCACCTTCACGGGCCCTTTCACTACTATCACTGGAGTCAACACTGGTTCTGCCGGAACTACAGTCACACTTCCCCCTTCGGGCACAGACAGTGTCGGCACGGTTATAGTCCTTGAGCCAAGCACGACTGCGCAGAGGACGACCTTTACAGGACCCTTCACCACAATCACTGGCGTTAATTCTGGCACCGCTGCTTCGACTGTTACCCTCCCTCCCTCAGGCTCGGATCCTACCGGCACTGTCATTATCCTCGAGCCCAGTGTGACATCGAAGCCAAGTACCTTCACCGGCCCCTTTACAACCATCACTGGAGTTAACACCGGCTCATCAGGAACGACTGTTACCCTTCCCCCTTCCGGTACCGGCTCCGTCGGTACTGTCATCGTCCTTGAACCTAGCACGACTGGACCGCGAAGCACTTTCACTGGCCCTTTTACTACGATCACAGGCGTTAACTCAGGTAGTCTGACTGCAACACTTACGCTTGCGCCATCTGGCTCTGACCCAACCGGCACAGTTGTCATTCTCGAGCCTTCAGTCACTGCCCCTGCCTCTAGCTTCACAGGTCCCTTCACCACTATAACCGGAATCAACACTGGCAATGGTGTAGCAACTCTCACGTTGGCGCCCTCTGGTACCGACTCGACTGGAACTGTCGTCATTCTTGAGCCTTCTTCTTCTGTTCCTTCAAGTACTTTCAGTGGTCCTTTTACCACCATCACAGGATCTGGTCCCATCCCGACCACCGTCAGTCTTCCTCCTTCAGGTGGCGACCCAAGCGGTACTGTTATCGTGATTGGTCCTCCTTCAAGCACCACAACCTTCACTGGTCCCTTCACTACCATCACCGGTGTCAACACTGGTACTGGTTCCTCAACAGTCACACTTCCTCCCTCAGGCACCGATACAGTTGGCACTGTCATTGTGCTGGAACCATCCACCACTAAGACTTTTACTGGGCCTTTCACGACAATTACTGGTGTTAACACAGGCACCGGCGCTTCTACCGTAACCTTGCCACCTTCTGGGACTGACTCGGTTGGTACCGTCATTGTGCTTGAGCCGTCAACGACCAAGACATTTACTGGACCTTTCACTACCATTACTGGCGTCAACACTGGCACCGGTTCCTCCACAGTAACCTTGCCTCCTTCTGGTACCGATACTATCGGCACAGTGATCGTGTTAGAGCCCTCGACAACCAGGACGTTTACGGGACCTTTCACCACCATCACCGGCGTGAACACCGGGACTGCAACTGGTGCCTCGACCGTGACTCTTCCCCCCTCTGGCACTGACTCAGTCGGCACTGTGATTGTCCTCGAGCCCTCAACTCGCACAACCTTCACTGGACCATTCACTACCATCACGGGCGTCAACACTGGAACTGCAACTGGTGCTTCTACTGTTACCCTACCTCCTTCTGGCACGGACACCATTGGTACAGTCATTGTGCTGGAGCCTTCCACTCGCACGACCTTTACTGGCCCCTTCACAACAATCACGGGCGTCAATACGGGAACTGCAACTGGCAAGTCCACTCTGACTTTGCCTCCCTCTGGCACTGATCCTACTGGTACCGTAATTGTCTTGGAGCCTTCTGTTTCAGCCCCAGCGAGCAGCTTCACTGGACCTTTCACAACAATTACTGGAGTGAATACTGGCACAGCAACTGGCGCTTCTACATTGACCCTCCCTCCTAGTGGCACAGATAGTGTCGGCACAGTCATCGTCCTAGAGCCTTCCACTTCTGCAGTCCCAACAACCTTTACTGGACCCTTCACTACTATTACCGGTGTGAACACTGGAACGGCAACTGGTGCGTCCACATTGACCCTCCCGCCCTCGGGTACGGATACTGTCGGTACCGTCATTGTCTTGGAACCCTCGACTTCATCTCCAGCTTTCACCGGCCCTTTCACTACCATTACAGGCGTGAACACCGGTACAGCCACGGGAGCCCAGACCGTCACTCTGCCGCCTTCTGGTACAGATACAATCGGTACAGTGATTGTACTGGAACCATCTACAGCTGCTACCCCAACCACCTTTACAGGCCCATTTACCACTATCACTGGAGTGAACACAGGTACAGCTACAGGAGTCCAGACCGTCACCTTACCACCCGCCGGAACCGACACTATTGGCACCGTTATTGTGTTGGAACCCTCAACTTCAGCTCCTCTTTTCACCGGACCCTACACTACCATCACTGGTGTCAACACAGGTACTGCGACTGGAGCGTCGACCATCACGCTTCCGCCGTCTGGAACAGATACCATCGGCACAGTTATTGTGTTAGAGCCTTCAACCTCAGCACCTGCGTCAACATTCACTGGTCCATTCACCACTATAACTGGTGTCAGCCCAGGTACTGCCACAGGGGCCTCAACAGTCACTCTCCCACCATCAGGAACCGATACCATTGGAACCGTCATCGTGCTCGAGCCTTCAACATCAGCCTCTGCTTCATCGTTCACAGGTCCTTTCACCACGATCACTGGTATCAACACAGGCACAGGCACGGGGGTATCTACCATCACTCTGCCCCCGACAGGAACTGACACCATCGGAACTGTCATTGTTCTTGAACCTTCGACTTCAGCTCCTGCTTCGACTTTCACTGGGCCTTTTACCACTATCACTGGCGTCAACACAGGTACCGCTACTGGTACCTCTACGTTGACACTTCCACCATCAGGCACAGATACTATCGGCACAGTCATCATCCTCGAGCCGTCAACTTCAGTACCTGGTTCAACCTTCACCGGTCCCTACACCACCATCACAGGTAGTGGACCCATTGGCACAAGTATCACTCTGTCACCATCTGGAACAGACCCTGTCGGTACCGTGATCGTGATCGAGCCCACGCCTGTTTCAACTCTATCCCCTGGAGCCACCGGAACTAGCGAGGGCTCGGGTGTTTCATCAACCTCTAATGGTTCTCAAGGTCAGTCAACGTCTTTCCCCGGAAGCTCCGACTCTGGCGCTTCAAGCACTTCCGATTCCCCCTCCCAGCAAAGTTCAGGTGTTTCTTCTTCCCAATCCTCTGCCTCTGATTCCTTGACCGATGGCAACTCTGGTTCTGCGATCAACACTTCCAGTGGCTCTATGGAATCTCCGACTGGAGTTTCATCAGGTGATTTGTCAGCTTCTGTTACTGGCGGCTCTGAGTCTGCCTTCAGTACCTCTGGTCCCGCATCCCAGGAGAGCTCGGAATCTTCCGGCTCCTTTACCAACGGCAATACTGGTAGCACTGACCTTGGTGAGTCTACTGGTTCTCCATCGGGTACTTTGTCAACCTCTGGCACCGGTAGCGAGTCAACCTCCAGTGCTGGTAGTCAGTCACCCTCTGCCCCAGGAAGCTCTGACGCCGCTTCAAGCACCTCTGACACCGCGTCACAACAGAGTTCTGATACCTCATCCGTTCCCGCTACAGAGACTGGTGGCAACACTGGCGGTCCTGGTTCTGGAAGTACCAGTTCTGGTGACTCTGAAATCACCTCCACTGAGGTTCCTTCAGGAGCTTCATCCTCTGGAACTGGCCCGGATGCCAGTTCAGCTGTCTCTGGTGCATCTTCAGATACCTTGTCCAATGGCAACGCTGTCGGCCCTGAGTCAACTGGCACCTCTGATGGCTCTGGCGTATCTTCAACGGGACTTCCCACTGTCTCCACATCTGGCACTGGCGCAGGAACATCTTCAGACGGATCGGGTGCTTCTTCAACTCTAGGGTCGGAGACTAGTGGTAACACTGGTGGGTCCGAATCTACAAGCACTACATCTGGTGGTTTTGAAGGGTCATATACTGGACTTCCTTCAGGAGCTTCATCCTCGCAGTCCGGCTCAGAGACATCACCAATTGCATCAGTGTCTTCTTCAGATACCGCAACCAATGCTAACACCGGCGCGTCAGGCTCTGCAACCACCACTTCTGGTGGCTTTGAAGTATCCTCCACTGAAGTCCCCTCAGCTTCGTCTTCTGACCCCGAAGGATCTTCGACAGGAGTCCCCACTGACGCCACCTCCTCTGGCTCTGGTGCTGAGTCTTCTGGAGCCGAGACTTCTGGCGCCGGATCAGGTACTTCATCCGAAACAGGTGGTAACTCTGGCGCTACAAGCAGCACCTCTGATGTATCTGCAACGGGAGCTCCTACCGGTGAGACATCATCTGGCTCTGGCGCTGGAACATCTTCAGCGGCGACTGGTGGTTCCTCTGCTCCGTTTACAGAGACTGACAATACTGGTGCCCCTGCCTCTACAAGCATTGACGGCTCTGGGGAATTTTCCACCGGTGTTCCCTCTGGTGGTTTTACATCCTCTGACACCGGATCTGCGACTACTTCAGCGGGATCAGGCGCTTCTTCAACTGCTGGAGAGGAGTCTAGTACTGGTGCCACAGCTGGTACGTCTGATGGCTCTGAAGGCTCTTCGACAGGAATCCCCACTGGCACTACTTCATCTGGCACTGGCCCAGAGACCTCGGGTGCTTCCTCGACAGTCGATGAGGGATCAAGCACTGGTGCCCCTGCCTCTACCGCCAGTGTCTCTAGTGGTTCCGAAGGATCTTCAACTGGAGTTCCCTCCGGAGCTTCTTCATCGGAGCTCAGCTCGGAGACTTCATCAGCGGGATCTGAAGCCTCATCTGGAAGCTCTGGTACCTCTGAGCCTACTGGTGCCACCTCATCTTCTGGGCCAGGTGCATCTTCTTCGGCTTCGGCACCAGAGACTGACAGCACTGGTATCCCTGTCTCTACCGACGGTACCTCTATCGGTTCAGAAAGTTCTTCTACTGGACTTGCAACGGAGTCCTCGTCTGGCTCTGGTGTAGAGACCGCCTCAACTGGTTCTGGCTCAGAGGCTTCCTCTACTGGATCCGGTGCCTCTACCGGAATTGCCACTGAGACTTCCATCGGCTCAGGCTCAGAGACCACTCCGGCTGAAGTTTCCACCGAGCCTGCCTTCACCTCATCAGGATTCATTACACGAATTTCTAGTTCATCGTTGTCTTCTGAAGAGATCACTGACATTTCATCAGGCCCTGATACCTCTACTGGTTCTAGCTCTGCTGCCACCGGCGCTTCTTCAACCTCTGACTCAGGTGCCGCTACTACCTCATCGGGGCCTGGAACAGAGACTTCTGGTTCAGAGCCTTCGAACACTTCATCAGGATCTGATGGCTCTTCCACTTCCGGTACTCCATCCGAGAGCTCGAACACCTCCGCCAACCCAGAAGAGTCTTCTTCTGCTACGGGAGAGTCTTCTGGTATCCCCGTAGAGACCTCTTCCGGTCCCGGTTCCGAGACCACTGGTGCTTCTTCTAGCTCTGGTGTTCCTTCTGAGAGCTCCAACACATCTGCTCCCCCTGCTGAGTCTTCGTCTGATGCTGCTGAGTCTTCCGGTACCTCAGGCATTCCCTCAGAGACCTCTTCGGGCTCTGGATCCGAGAGTGCCTCAGCGTCCGCCACTTCTGGAGCCGGTGGAGAGTCTTCAGCGGCTTCTTCATCTGAACCTGAGCCAATTTCCGGTGGATCTTCTGCCACAACCGATGCTGGCTCGGACACGTCTAGCACTGCGGCTACCGCTGGTGAATCCTCCGGGGCTTCATCAGCTTCGCCCGAGTCCTCTTCTGCCGCTTCCTCGATTCCCACTGAGACACCTGGTACTTCTACGGGTGCTGGAGAGTCCTCTGCGGCCACATCGGGTGCTGCCTCTGAGACTTCCAGTGGCCCTGTCGTGGACACTTCATCCGACATTGGCGTCTCTTCTGAACCTGCTACCTCCAGCGCCCCTGAGACTTCCAGTGATGTTGGTGTAAACACTTCATCGGATGACGGTGCCTCTTCCGGCCCTGCTACCTCTGATGTTCCCGAGACTTCCTCAGGTGCCTCAACCAGTGACTCCCTCGCCAGCTCTACTTCTGCGCCATCTGATGGATCCTCTGCTACATCGGATGTCCCAGCGCAAACCTCCAGTGATGCTGGCGCTGGTAGCTCCTCAGACACTGGTGCCTCGTCTACTGCTGAGGCTGAATCCTCATCTGCACCGGCCGGCGAGTCTTCGCTGGCTACATCAGCTGCCCCTACTGAGACTTCTAGTGACGCTGGTGCCAGTAGCTCTTCAGATGCCGGCGCTCCGTCTACTTCTGATGCTTCGCCAACTTCGTCGGCCGACACTGAGTCCTCATCTGCCCCAGCTCAAGAGTCTTCGACTACAGCCGGTGTACCAGCGGAGACCTCAAGCGACGCTGGTTCATCTGCTGCTGCAACCTCCTCCGATGTACTTGAGTCATCCTCATCCGGTGCTGAGCCTACCAGCACGTCCGACGGCTCCGGTGCCACTTCTTCTCCCGCAGCATCGAATACCCCCGAGACCTCTTCCGATGTCCCCTCGGAGACATCCAGCGACACTGGTGTCAACAGCTCCTCTGGCTCTGCCCCTTCCACCTCTTCAGATGGCATCGAACCGACCAGCAGCTCTGATGCTGCCGCTAGTACCACGTCCTCACCCGCTGAGGAGTCGTCATCGCCAGCTACCTCGGATGCCCCCGTGACCTCCTCTGACGTTCCCGCTGAGACCTCTTCTGAAGCTCCTGTGGAGACTTCCAGTGATGCTCCAGCCAACTCTTCAGAGGCTGAGACTTCATCCGCCGTTGTCGAGACCTCTTCTACTGCTTCCTCTGCCGCCGAGACATCTTCTACCGACACTGGGCCTACCAGCAGCGCAGCCGATACCTCATCAGCCGATGCTGCGACATCCACCCCCGAGTCCTCCTCCTCTGCTCCCGAGACCAGCGCTGAGCCCACCTCATCCGCCGCAGTGACGTCTGCTGAACCTGCCACAACCGAAGCCCCAACCTCTGCAAGCCCAACCACTCCTGAGGCTCAGACATCCTCCTCTGCAACTGAGTGTATCCCCTCGCCAAACACTTCGGCTACTTGTACCGTGGCTCTCCCTGCTGCCTGCGCAGAACTCGAGACTACCAACGGTCTAGCTCTTATCCCTGTACTCGCTCTCTGCACCACTGCCCTCGGGCCCTATGCCGTTGGTAACGTTGCCTCCTGTCTCGCAACTACGCCCATCGTTGGCTCTTCTGGTTTGAGTATCTTCAACTGTGTCGTTGATGCCTTGGAAGAGCGTTGCATCACAACTCTGCCGGAGTCTTGTACAGATCTGGCGAATACCAATGGCCTTGAGCTTGTCGCCGATGTTGCCATTTGCGCTGTTGCTCTCGGTCCTTTTGCTGCTGGAAGTGCTGCAACATGTCTCTCCACTGGTGACATCACTGGCTCTACAACAGGTACAAGCATCGTTGAGTGTCTTGAGATTGCCTTTGGCATTACATCCGGCACAGGTACCGTTACCGGCATCCCATACTGCGCTGAGTCTACGGCTACGTCCACTCCCACGCCTACACCAACCCCTACGCCGGCCTGCTTCACACTTCCTGACGCTTGCGAGTCCATCGGCAGTTTGACTGGTTCCGTGGCTATCGCTGTAGCCGCTCCTGCGTGTAGAACAGCACTCGGCGCTTACAACACAGGCACCGTGGCATCTTGCACTACCTCCGGTATCGGTCTCTTCACGTCCGGCTCGGTTGTCGTTAATTGTCTCAACAATGCCCTCTCTGGGGTGTGTATCTCGACACTCCCAGCAGCTTGTTCCAGCTTGGCTGGTCAGAATGCAGTTCAACTTGCACTGAACCTTGGTGCTTGCGACACTGCCCTTGGACCATTCGGAGAGGGAGCGGCGGAAGACTGCTTGAGCGTTCTTCAGGGCAGCGGCGACGCTGTTGTGAGCTGTCTCAACAATGCACTTTTCTATCCCACTACGGCTAGCTTGGCTAAGTAATAGTAACTCCTAACTTAGTATGGTTGGGCAAGAGACGATGGAGTGTCTGTGTGTGTGGAACTTTTCTTTTTGTAACCTTTTCCTTGCGTGACTTATTGGATCTTGGGCAATCTAAGTATCACTCCGATAACTGTGGCGATGGTAGTAACTGGGCTAATGTAGTAGCTCGTAATAGTCAATTCACTTCCTTTCTACCTTATGCCTGTACTACTATATCAAATCCTCAAGTTCTTTGCCTCTCATTCCTTGTGCATCGCCATGTCATCCATCTTCTTCTGCCCAATCGCATTCGCCCCGACAGGAGCATCAGGTCCATCAAAGATCTCAGCCACCTCCTCAAGAGAATAGCCCTTGGTTTCGGGGAAGAAGAAGAAGATCAAAGTCAAGTGAACAGCGATCGCAACACACCAAACAATGTAGTACTTCCAAGCAATAGCCTCCATAGCAACAGGGTTGGCGAAGGCGTTGTAAACACCCGCCAAATTGCCAGTGAGCTGGTACAGCATAGAAGCCTTGGCACGAAGCGAATATGGGGTGACCTCCATGATATAAGTGGCACCAATGGGAGAACAGGCGTGATACCAGAAAGAGAAGACAAAGATCATGGCCAGAACGGCACCAGCGTAGCCCATGTGCTCAAAGTTCTCCTGCTGGTTGCGGGCAGAGCAGATTGTCCAGATGATGTATGAAACACCCATACCCGACATACCAACGAGGAAGAGTCTGCGTCGACCAAACTTGTCAATCATGGTGGCGAATACGACAGCTGACAGGAAGCCCCAGATTTGGAGACCAGCGTTCAGAAGAAGCTGAGTCTTGTGGTCGGTGATGTTGATCGAGTTGAGGACCTTGGCAAGATAGTAAGAGGTGAGAGCATTGCCGGACCACTGCAACATGGCGGGGATGTACAGAGCAAGGAAGAATCGGTGCCAGTTGCCGCGAGTAGAGATCCACTCGGCCCAGCGCGACTTCTTCTGAACCTTCTCGATCTCGAGTGTCGCTGTGATCTCAGCCATCTCAAAGCGGGCCAATCGAGAGTTGGGGTCTCCGTATCCGTGCCACTTGACGAGAATATCCTTAGCTTCCTGATATCGACCCTTGTAGATGAGCCATCGAGGAGACTCAGGTGCAAACATGACCAACGAAGCCTGAACAACAGAGAAAGCGCCCTGAAGAAGACTGGGGAGACGCCATGCCCAAGAGCTCTGCATCTGGAAGCTTCCGTACGTGACCCAAGCAGCGATGATAGCACCGAGCGGCCACGAGACCATCATGAAAGATGTCATCTTTCCGCGATGCGTTGGGTATGTAACTTCGGAGAGGAGAGGAGGCGCCGCAGTGGAAACAATACCGAGACCGAAACCGATGATGAAGCGCGAAGCAACAAACATGCCATAGTTATACGAGCAAGTCTGAACAATCGCGCCAACAATGATAGTAATCGATCCGATAAAGATAGGCTTTCTTCGTCCAAGCCAATCACAGAGCTGGGATGAAATGAGGATCGAAATGAGAACACCACCGTTGGGTCCAAACGTCATAGCGCCGAGACGCGTCCCCTTGGGTTGGCCGAAATATTCCTGCCATTGAGGCAGCGACTGCGCTCCATTCAGCATACTCGCGTCAAACCCGGTAGCGGTTTGGGTCAAGAGACCGCTCAGGAGGAGAAGGTTGAGTTTCCATAGTGTCCAGTCGGAGTACCATGGCTTGCGATCGCGGGGAATGACATCGGCGAGGACGAGACCCTGGAAGTCATTCGCGTCGGCGTCGGGGAGGTGAGTTTCTTCGGCAACTTGCTTCGACATCTTGAAAGAACCAGAATTGACTCAAGTGGAGGTAAAGATGGTTGAGTCTGTTGTTTGTGTTTCGTTTTGACGATCCCCACAGTCCTTTATATCTATCAATTTGACTTTGTGGGGTTGGAACCAAGGTTGGTGTGACATTTCCCTCTCCGGTAGATGAACCGAGGAAGTCGTACCATTCAGCCAAGATTGAACCCCAAAACTTGTTTGTGGGGGAGACTTGGGCCGATGCCCGCTGCGTGTCTGCGGGTTTTTTACCCCGGATCTACCCCAGATTCGTTAACGCGCCGTGGGGTCTTTGGGCTCGGTTTGGTTAGAGGGTAAATCCCCGCACGTGAGCGTGACCAATATTCTTGGTTCGGGGCAAACGGAGCCGATGGGGGCATTGGACCGGCAGCGGGAGAAGGGTCGGAGGTCGTTACTCCGGGCATTTCGATGCCGAATTCTCAGATCATTAACGCGAAAAAGGATTTTTTATGGCAGATGACTGGCGAGTTTGTTGCAGCTAACTCGTACGCTTAATTGGCATGGAGATCATCAATGTCGCTCAATTTATTAGTCATCCTTGTAATATTGTGAAGATGCAGGGTAACTTGAGCTGTGACGAGTACCGAGGATTAATTGATCGCGTTATCACCTTGATTGCACAGAATATCTGAAATAGAATTGTGATGTCAGGCTTAAAGTATTTCAGCATTGTTATATGATTGCAGCTGCGACGGTTTCATTACTTGATGGCAACGGCATTATTAGAGATTATCAACAGAAAGAATTGAGTGTAACTTAACGAATAAAGCACGTGTTACAACAGAAGGTTTCTCGGATTGAAAACTTACACCAACTTATTCTGTGCGCCAGAGTGCTTAATAATATAACACATTGAAGTCTTAGTTAATTCACGATATACTCTAAAGTTTTCATTGTCTTTTATATATATTTTGCAGCAAGCAGTCAATTGCATTGCTTGTGAAGTTATCTTATCAAGGATAAGATAAGATAACAGAAAACAAGCCAAGATAAGTTCAGATAAGCTCACAAAACCACTGATCCGGAGCAAGTCCTCCCTCCACTGTTCACGATTTAGACACGAGTCAAATCGAGTAGAACTACACTCCCGCTCTCGAATTCCTGCTGGGAGCCCAATGACACCAAAGTTCTCACTGTGCCTCTCTTGCCTCTCTACCCGACATGGACTATTGGCAACAAAATGCATGTCTCAGGCCTTCAGTTCGCCACCGATAGCTGAAATGCTGAATTGGGTCAGGCGCTCATGGGCTTGAACAGTAGGGACTCACTTCTGAGAACCGCCAACTGAGGGAATATGACCTCACCAGCGGGGTAATATGCTCAGCGATTAAACTGATGCGAAAGTAGCTTAGCGTCGAGCCTGGAGTTGCAACCTGCTTTGTGAAATGGGATCCTAAAATACTTCAATAGGTATGCTCAGCTAGCCACTGGCTGGGCAATAGTGAGTTGGCAATTAGGCTAACCTGGATCAAGCTCGGGTCTAGAACACCACGCATTCATTCCCTATCACATACCTTCATCTTTTAAGCCTATATGCATTTCGTGGCGTATGCAATGTGATATCTTGTTACGATTCTGGGCATATATGTTTGTGATTGAGAGTAATGTGATAGTGGACTGTTGGAATCTCAGCCAGCCACTCCAGTGGCGCCGCCAATGATTCATCTGTTGCCTGCATAACGCAGACGCAGCTCCAGCTTCGATTGACCGAGAAGAAAATACTACATAAAGCACGCAATTGCGACACAATTTCTTCGAGGTCACAAGCAAGCAACCAAGAATTAATCATAATCGCACAATTGATCTCCCAAGGAAACATGGCTTCAACATTCGACCTCGCTACGGACGAGTTTCTCACTTGTGAGATTCATTCTGAGAGCACCCTCCCGCTTCTGAGCTACTTCATCGAGTGTAAGAAGCACAAGCAGAATGGCTCCAGAAGGCTATTCCAGAAAGTCAAGTCCGAAATCGGAGATGCGGATCGTCCCATTCCCGACGAGTCTGAGCAGTTGCAAGATGTTCTGTTGGCCCTTATGAAAGATGGACCGGGAAAGCCCGGAGAGAAGATCCCTGGCTGCCCAACAGTGAGTGCCCTCAGCAATCTTTATGCTGTACCCCGCTAAAGATGAGTAGGTCACTATCGTCGGCGCCGGTGTGTCTGGACTTTGTGCTGGCTATGAGCTGAAGAAGGCTGGGTTCAAGGTCACCATCCTTGAGGCCTCGTCCCGAGTCGGCGGACGCGTCAAAACCTTCCGCGAGCCATCTTTCGCACATGGTCTTCACGGAGAGGGCGGCGCCATGCGCATCCCTGCAAATCACTACCTACTACACAAGTATATTGAAGACTTCGGTCTAAAGCCACAGTTGTTCGACTTTGAGATGAAGAACAAATTCATCTACATTTCAGGCTACGGCGAGACGCTGACGTATGATCGTTTCAATGAGCTTCTGCAAGAAGAGGACGCCAAGCTGCTGTCTCTCTTCCCAGGTCTCCGTAAATGCGAGAAAGGCAAGACGTGCGACAAGCTGTTCACAGAGGCTGTTGCACAGGTTGTCGACGACTTTTGGGAAGCCTATGAAAAGGCCACTGACGAGGTAGCGTTCCCTGAGAAGATTCAGGTTAAAGCTATCAAGGAGGCATATGCTGCGATCACCAAGAAGTATGATAGCTACACGCTGCGATCTTACTTGACTGATGAGGCAGGTTGGACTGAAGATGCTATTAATCTTTATGATCTTGGTAATGCTCATGTCGTCTTTGAGAATGGGTTCATTGAATCGTTCAAGGATGCGTTTCTGTCGAGCAACAAGGGTGGCGAACAGGCAGGCATGAAACAGCTTCAAGAGGGGATGGATGCTGTGCCCAACGCTTTCGTCTCTAGCGAGAGAAAAGAAAGTGAGTCACTTCGAGTCACTTCTGTGCCTTCTTTGAAGACATCCTTGGCTAATGCTGTACAGAATCGTTGGTTGATGACATCATCTATGGTGCCAGAGTCACCGAGATAGGCATTCTTGAACAATCGGACCCCCAAATCCCTCTCCAAGCTCCGGTCAAGGTGACCTACGAAGTCACAGCCAACAGCTTAAAGAAATCCATCACCTCAGACTATCTCATCCTCGCCATCCCGTACACGGCGCAGCGAACAATCGCCAAGTCAAAGCCCTTCGTTCCCATGCAGGAAATGGCAGTTCGAGACGTTCGCTACGTGGAAGTCACCAAGATCCTCCTCCAGTACAAGAAGAGATGGTGGGAGAAGGTCTTTACTGAAGCGGGCCAGGGCCTAGACGGTGGTCTCGTCAGCGATCTTCCTATCCGCTACACCATGTTCCCCAAAACAGATGGTAACACTCAGTTCGACCATTCTAACCGCGGTGTCATCATGGCAGCATACACCTTTGAACAAGATGCCACTATCCTTGGATCCCTCTCTCCAGAGCGACGGATCCAGATCGCCGCTGAGAACCTGAACAGGATCTTCCCCGAAGCCAGGTCTCTTGACCTTCTCGAAGCTGGGGCGTCACAAGTCTTCCCAGCTGATGAACTAGCTGGTGGAAGTGCTTTCTGTTACTTTGGCCCGATGCAAAAGACCAAGTTCTTGGATACTATGCAGAAGCCTGATTGGGAGAATAGGGTGTTCTTTGCAGGCGAGCAGGCTAGCTTTACTCATGGATGGATTCAGGGTGCGTTCGAAGCTGGGCTTCGATGCGTTCAGCAAATCTGGTCTGTTGCTGTTGAAGGAAAGGTACAGTGAGCAAGAGAATGGAAGGCTTACACGCGTGAGTTCCACCAACATCTCCTAAGACTCAAGCCTGGGGGAGCCAGATTCGCATGTCCTGTTTGAGCTTAGCTAGTAAAAGAATATCTAACTACAGTAGTGAGGAACATAGCCCAAGCTTAAATCTTAATTATACACGTTTATAGCACAGTTATTACTAACAAGGCAGAATGCAAGCCAATGGACTGAAAAACCCCTGTTAGTAATCGCCAAGCCCCGTTTCGGAATTGCTCAGCCCCGTTTAGTAAAATTGTTAGACCACCACTTAAATCCTTTCTATTATAAGGACCCCAATTCCACTTTATTTATACATGGTTATCCATGTATACAATCTCACCAAGAAACGGAATTCCGTTTAATACCCTTGCATTTAAGTAGTTAAGCTTCTTTAAGCTCCCTAGATTTAAGCCGCGCAGCATAACAGGCACAACTAGGCTGTGCAAATCCTTTGTTGAAAATCCTTTAATCACAATCCTTTGCAAGAACTCATTTCAGGCGATGGCCAGATTATGTAGAAATGGAGAGCAAATGAGGCTATGCAGTCGAGTAAAGTGGTATAAGAAACCGCATCACCTCTAACAATAAACGATAGTCAGCCAACTAATTCTGCTTCATTACAATCAATCATTTTCAAGACTCTACAGCCATGGCTCCTACCATGAATCGAGTGGCGGCCTTTGGCCTTTTACTCCTCGGTTTACCTTCCACCACTCTCGCTAAGCCAATAGAAATACAGCCACGCCAAAATGTCCCTGGCGACACGCCTTTCGTCAGCTTTGATGCTTGCAGTGATTCTCAACGTCAGGACATCGAGAAAGCTTGGGCCGATGTTGTCACGCTTGTTGGCGTTTCAAAACAGTTTAATCCTCCCGGTACGATCGAGTCGAGAATCTTCGGAGATGACATCAACCTAAGATTCGAGGATATATCGCGTATATACAGTGAGAGCCTCTGCCTTGTGTCAAGCTGCAAATGTCACGAGCTAACAGTACACAGCTATTTTCCACAACATTGAGGAACTGAGTAAGAATGGGCGCAAGATGCAGATTTCTTGCCAAGATGTCTATCAGGACCACAGGGGAGCAAATGACCAAGTTACATGTGGAAATGTGATCCAGTCTTCATCTGGCTCCATCGGCGCCTACGCATTTTCCACCGAGGCGACCATCGAGAAGTCCACCATTGTTCTTTGCAGTCCCTTTTGGGCGCCCGGTCAAGAGTTTCTCGGAGAAATAGTTGACAATCTCCGAAAGGCGCCAGAAGGTGACAGAAAGAACCCGAATCTCATGGTCGGCAAGGGTAAAATTCTACTTCACGAGCTGACACACCTACCCGCACTGGCAGAGGCATCGACGAATGACGGTGAGTGTTTTTTTTTTGTCGCGATGACCATTGAGCTACGAATGCTGACGGAATTCTTAAGTTATTGTCACCGATCAACTTCTCAATGACGACTCGAATGTGAAGGCTTATGGGATCAGAATGGTGGAAAGATTCGCCAGAAACAAGAATTGGCGCGCTCGTACGGCCAAAAACGGTAGGCAGCAAGCAACCTTTACGAGATTTGGCAGTAACTGATTCTTTTCTTTACAGCTGACAGTTACGCATGGTATGCGACCGAGAAGTACTTTGAAGGCATGTTCGGCACGCCCAACGCGGCCTATGAGAAGAGAGATGGAGAAGAGGATGATACTCCGACTGAGGATCCAGCGCCTCCCGCAGGTCCCACCAAGGCACTGAACATCATCCTCGAGAACAAGCGCCACGGAGTCCCCATGGACAAAGACTTCTACGACACAATGAACTGGCTATTCTACTCCACCGACTTTGGGACTGCATCGCAGTGTGCGCTCAACCCCGCTCTCGCCATTCATGCCGACGTATCTATTGATACCCTATCGATTGATGCGCTGAGAGACGACCACTTTCCTGCTGGTGCATTCGATGTCAAGACTCAAGATGGAGACTGCCAGTATAAGAACGATGGCACAGGCAACCCAGGAGCATTATGGTGTGGTGATCAGGGACACTCATGTAGAGCACACCCGGATAGACGGACCTTCACTTACTGCCGCGATCTTGACAAGTCTGCGCAAATTCAGCATGCAGCTATGGTTGTTTGCGAGTGGTAGCCTTGAGCCCTTGGCCACAAAAGGTGCTAGCTGTTATCTTTGCAACCGATGTTAGTCTCGACCTTGGACTAATCGGTAGGATTAGTGCTGAGCTGGATAGTTTATTTCGTTCAACCTTGTATATATCTGTGAATCTTGTCAGCGCCAAGATCTATTACCGTAGTAGCTATCTATTTATACTGAAAATTATGTATACCACTTATATATGATGGAAGGTCAGGCTGTGGCAAGACTTGACCCAAGACAGGCAAACAAGTGTTGAACTGGACTATCTGCTGGTCTATTCCTACATGACAGATGCAATAGACCTGGAAGCGGGTAGGTAGTCTCCTACGAGGCAGTTAAGTTACAAAGTTCGACGGACTGGAACTTGTTGTAAGGAATAAATACTAGAACTATGATAATAAGCGGGAGAGCGATGTATAATTTCGTGGCGCTTTTTATAAAAGTATTCCGCTAGATATATCGATGACCTAGATACATCTCCCTAGCCTAAACCATTGAACACAATATTCTACCCTGAACTACGCATCTACTTCTCTAGCTAGACCGAGCTCTTGAGATGAATACCTACTTGACAGTGATTCTTAACACATTAGAAATGCTGTCCTGACAATGCCATTAGCAGCCAATGGTCATGGCTTGAGGACGCCGGTCCAGCTACAGACCCCTGGCGAGTCAAGTGACAACTGTGACATTTGGCGAATCATATCGTTCGCCGTAGTCTCGTTTTGAACGTCGTATTCGCATTTGAACCTTTTCAAGTCGCCCCATGAGTTCTTGAATCCGGGGATGTCATCCCAGTTCTCGGCCCCAGCACGCTTATTCAAGAGTGACTCGTACTCATCCTGCTTCTTTTCTTTGACTGCGGCCAAGATCTTCAGCAGATCATCGAGGCTCGTCTTGTGTGTCTTTGTGCCTCGTGGAGGCTTGATCCCATAGTTACTTTTGGTCAACTGTAGCCATTTATTAGCGATCTAGTCTAGAGGTCTGGACTCTTGATGCTGACAGTAATGGTGAGGGTGTCAAAGTCTGGCTTTGACATGCGTGCTGTAATGGTTCGTACATCACCCGGAAATAGTAGATTCGGGGCTTTCCATTGATCTGTCTTAACGGAGAAACTCTCTTGTAGCATTTTGCACAGTTCTTGAGAATTGATTGTCGCGAAGTTATTATCCTGGCCTTCGGACGAGAGAAGATTGGCCAGAAAACCGGAGACCAATGGCGCGGCTAAGCGGGTCTGTCAGCATTCGAAGGAAAGGATTCAGATAAGGAAAAGTATCACCAACTTACCGAACGATGTGCCTGACTTGGTCAAGCTGCTACCTGGCACTGCTATATCCGTACCCGGTGCGTAGACGTCCACCACTGTGGTTACCTTGTTAGATCTTCATAGATTTCCCTCACTGGGTACCTCGCTTACGTACATGGCCCATAGCATGATTGCTTGTTCATCTCACCCTTCTTGTCTGTGTTACCGACAACTATCACTCCGGGCTCGCATTGCGGCCAGGCCTTGGATGTTCTAGACAAGCATGTCTTGGATCCCATGTCAGCAAAGCGTCCACAAGTCTGTTTCGCCGTTTTCTTACTCCACTATTTCCAGCTGCAGCCACCGGAATGATGTTGTACTCTTTTATCAACTGCTGAAGAATGCCTGATGCGATTCGAACAGCACCGGGCTCCGGGTCAAAAAGCCCCCAAGACATATTCAAAACGACACGACCGGACACCTTTTTGTTTTGGATTGCCCATCGAAGTCCAGACAGTGCGCATGACACAAACCCTTGGGTGGGCATCGTGCCCAAGAAGTAGTGTATTCTGACACTTGCTTTGGGAGCGACTTTCAAACTTGTTAGTTACCGCCTAGTAGGAGCGCCGATGGGTACCTACTGCCATGATCTTGCCCACAGGCAATGTTGGTGACTACGGTGCAATGGTCTTCGGCATTACCGACCTTTGGACAGGCATTGATGGTAAAGGGACGATTAGCCTAGAACATCCTACTTAGCCGACACGACTCCTGGTGGAGATATCTGCAAGGCACCTTACCTCTATGTCGTTTTTCAGATAACCTTCCCCGTCTAAGATGAAGATGGTCACATTCTCTCCCTTCTTGTTCATGACTGCTGTGTCTCTGACCCATGAGTTTGGAAGAGCCTGGATCTCGTTGAACCTGACATCCGACAACGTGACCTTGGACGCCCCCCAGTTAGAGCAGGGCTCTTCAGTGACGACATATTTTTCGACAACTACGTTTGGAGTAAAGCAGAGCAGTTCCTGCAACACGTCAGTCCAGGGAGTACGGATCGATATTCGATATCGAGTAGCCTTACAGGAGATGCATTGATTGCCTTCACAACATCGGGATGGAAGTAGCCAACGTACATTGTGGCAGGACTGTCCAGCGTTGCCTCTATCCCTGGAAAACTAGTCGAGCCTAAGGATGGATTATCTTGGCTGAGACTTCGAATCTTGTCGATATGGGCATCCCGAACGGCCTGGGAGACGTGAAAACTATCATCCTTTAGTTGGACGACCCCCGCACCATCCAGTACTTTAACGCCCTGCAAATTGTTCAACTCTACCTGGTCAATTGACTTGAGAGCTGGTAGGGTTTTGGGACTATGCAATCACATATATTAGTCATAGCCTGGCTATGTTCAGTGTGATGGAGTGACATACGGTTGAGGTTTGGTATTGTCCTTCACACTGCGATTAGCGACTGGCACGGAATGCCGTATCGTAGTCTCTTGCTGAGGCATGGTGAAGATACGTTCTGGTAAGCTCTGAATGGGGTAAAAATGAGAAGCGTAGAACACCTTGACTTTGCTTTTATGTCCTGATAACGTTTGAAAAAGCACAAATTACGAGGGGGATCTTTCTCGTGATAACAACTGTGACTTAAGTTTGAGTCCATATAGATCTGTGCGCTTGGACACAGCTTGGTGTTCAGCTTGCTTACAAGTCGCAACAATCATTCAACTGATGGACCAGAGGCTAGAACATGTATCGCTCAATAGTTCCTCAGAATCTGAGACACAATTGGCGCCAGGAGATGCCGATAGCCGAGAGAATGCATCTATACCTTTGTGGGCATACAACATAGCACGATTGGGTCACATTGCCTCTGAAATTGGATCAATAGAATCTAGTGTTTTTAGATAACACCCTGGCGTGTAGGCCTTGTATTTACAAAAGTACCCCATACTTGTGCGATAATCCTGGTATAGGCATATCTCTAGGCTAAGGCATGGCTCGTCCCCACTGTAGTACCTACCACTAAGAGCTATTGATCAAAGCGCATACCCTGGTCACTTGTTCGAGACCCTTCTGTGATACAGATGAGTTCACATCCTGTCCCAATCAAGGCATCTAGACATTGAGCTGGCCTCACTAAGGTGATGCGGGTGATACTATCACATACTATTGAAACATTTTGTTTTCAGCTGAAGTATGTGATAGATCTGGACTGGCGGTGTGAAAAGAAACCTTGCGCTTGGAGCCGTTGCCCACATGGTGCAAGCGGCGAACGCCGACTGCTCAAAGAGGGTTTCGTGTTTGACAGACAATCCCTACACTTTCTATGCTATGCTTACGGCTACATACACCTACGGCTACATTTCACAACAAATCTTGTCAACACGGGTCAGGCCACACTGTCATAAAATGCTATCTCTAGAAGACCTTCCGGTGCCTACTGTAGAGAAGCAGGTTGACATTGGTAGAGAGATTGTCATTCCATGGATTCATCGAGAGCTCGCCTTGGGCACTGGCTTCTCATCGAAACTTGTATCTACACCAAATCCCTGGATCACCGCCAAATCTCCCTTTAACATTGAAGAACTTAGAAAGCAGCGACTGCTTTATGACGGCAAAGTGGAGGGCAGACACAACTTTCGCGATGCTGAGTCCACCTCTCACTCGACTGGCATGGAGCATACGAGTGGCAGTTTGGGAGTAACAGTTGGATGCTCATTCCTGAGTGCAAGCGTGACAGGGTCGTATGACAAGACAGTCCTAGAGACCAAAGATGTACGTCAACCATAGTCTCGTCACAGTATCAGTTGGCTGATGTATGGTAGACGTATAGCGTGTCGCGCACCTGTTTGGTCCGCGGCGGAGTCATAAGGTTCAAAGCAGAGCCTCGTCTGTCGTATGAAGCAGAGATGCTGCTGAGAGAATCCAATGGCCAAGCCAAATTCCAGGAAGTCTACGGGGACTACTACGTCTCGTGCTACATCCTGGGAGCGGATGCAGGTGTTTACGTGGCTACAAGTGACGACACTGTGGATACTAAAACGAAGGAAAAGGTGACTGTGAAAGTCAAGGTCCTGTTTTTCACGGCCAGCAAAACCTTTGAGAAAGAAGAGTCGACACACGACGAGATTTTTCAGGTGACCATGAGCGGTTACGACACACTGACCAACACTTGCCACGGTTACCCGCCTAAGAAGGAGGGCTTGGAAAAGGCTTCTCAGGCTCAGTTCAATGAGGTGAGAAGACAGAGCATAGGATATCTTCAGAATGTAGATAAACTGCCTTTCCGTGTCGGTGAGCGGATGCAGGAGTTGGGGCTAGTCAATGACCGGGATGAGTTGGAGTGGCGTCATTGTTTAGATATATGTCGGGCTGGATTAGTAGTCCAGGTGATTCTGATGCCATATCGTTATTTGAGAGACTATCAGATAGCGGTATACAGGAATTAGCGATTGACCGTCATATAGTGATTGTCATTTCTTTGAAGGGTTATATAGAACAAGATACAAGTAATAGCAGGAGGAGATCAAGAGCCTATTATGTAGCCAGTGTAAGCCATTGGAGGTAGTTCTATGTACAAAGTTTGCTCCTGACAAGCAAGAGGCACCTTTGGATGCTGATCAGTAGGAAGCAATTACGGTCTTCCACTCGATATTGCAAATGAACCAAAACTTAAATCGAAAGAAGATGACAGATCAAGCGTGTATACTAGTTTTAGTGAGACTATGAGAAAGATTGAGGAAGGTCGAACTAATTGTCTACAGCCAGAGCCATTATCGGCCGTAACATGTGCTCTACTCATCAAGACCATAGAAAACGCCCAAGCGATCAAATGCTGACCCACTTTCACCCCAGAAACCTTTGAACGAGTAGTTTGCCACTGGAGCATCTGTCCACAGTGTATCTGACTGTTCTGGCGCCGCGTCCATTCCTAGCTTGGCCGACTGGCCCTTGGCGGTAGTCAACGTGATGGAACTGATGACCTTGACCGGGAAATCAGGAAACTTGCCAGCCGTGACCTGCACCGACGTGATATGATCGCCGACGTTAGTCACTGCAAAGGTCTTCTGTGTGCTGTTCGGGGGATGACCTGGTTTGTCGTCGTGACTGCGGAAGTGAGATGGCTTATCGGTGAAGTCAAGCTGATAAGCCACGATGAAGCCACTACCCTTCTTGTCGTTGATCCAGACGCTGACGCTCTTGACAATGTGGCTGTTTGTCACGACGGAGAAGTCATTGAAAACAGTGCCGGGCTCATGGTTGGTGTGATCACCTGCCCACGCTGTCATGAGAAACTTGGAAGACTTGGGGTCGCCCAGAGCTTTCTCGTACATGGGCTTGAAGTGTTCTGGCAGATCCTTGGGAGCATAGTATAGCCTCTCATGTAGCGCTGGGACGGGGGCGGCAGAGGCAGTGACCAGCTTGGGTTTCTCAATCTTGGTAACAGTCTACAAAACACACGTCGTTAGAACAAGAAGAAAGAGAAAACGGCAGGTGTTGTTTGCACAAAACTTACAGGGAGTAGCCTTCGAAAGAAAGTGGGATTAGTGTACTGAAGATCTCGATCCGGGTCCAGCGCAAGCATGGGATTTGCAATGACTTCATCCACCTCCTTGACGATCTTGAGCATCTCCAGTCTGCAGTCCTTCCTGGCCTTCTCCAGGCCGAACTCATCAGGTTCGTACGGAATGCCGACGTTGTCAGGGTAGTCGAAGTTCTTGGATGACTGAGAGCTTGCGGTATGGGTGCCACCAGGAGAGTGCAAGAGGTTGACCAACTCTAGCACTTGCTCGCTGCTGTCACCAGCGTTCTCGCGAGCCGTGTCGACTAGATCTTGCAAGAAGTGAAGAGCTTCCATCTTCTTGGGCTTGCTGATCTCCCTCTTGGCATCAACCTTTCTAGGCTCTATCTTTGCCGTCCTCAGTGTAACATTATTGTCCTCATAGTCGGCAATGTCTACGAGTTCATGGTAATTAGTCTTGTGCGCAGGATTTCTCACGAAGCTTCAACTAACCTAGGTGGATCTTCTTCCAGATGTTCTTGTAAGCCATCATGGCATCCAAGAGATCGTTGGTATAAAGACTGGCAACGTCGTAGTCAAGAACAGTGGGCTTGGGGCTGAGCTTCTGGAAGCTGAGAAGGTTCTCGTACTTTGTGAGTATAGCGCTAAATGGTATCGTTAGTAGTCGGCCTTCCAAAGAAACCAAATACGAAGGAGTAACATACTAGGTTCTCTGCGGGCATCGAGCAACGTTGTAGGGGAATGCGGCCGCCGCTTTGGTCAGTGACTCGATGGACCATAGCTCATCGGCAGGTTTGATATCCCCACCTCCATTCCAGTTAACGGTGATGGTAGTCTCGCAGTTTTTGAATGCATTCGTCTTATCAAGACTGAAAGAAGCATTCAAACTGCCACCTGCTGCGCGGCCCTGTCCGAAACTCGCTTCAAGGGCAGCTTTGATATCTGACTCGGTCGCCTTGTCGGTGATCTTGACAGACACGATGGCATCAAGCTCACCTCCTTCAATGAACCCAGAGATGTAACAATCTCCGTATACCTTCATGAACTTGCCAGTGTTCCAGACGCCATCGATGGCATTGAACTGCCGCACGTCTTCAGCCATGATGGTTTGGTTGACGACAGTCACCTGGACAAAGAAGTTGAGGGTGCTCTCCTTGAACTTGTCAGAGTTGACGTAGGATCCTGCAAGGCCACCACCTGCTGTGGCTGTCTTGATGCTCAAAGCTGCCGAGACATTCATTGCATCTGTCACTTCAGAGATCTTGTCGACGTGGCGTGTGCAATACGAGACAATCTGACTGACTTGCTTGGTGTCGCCCTGGTAATGGTCGCCACCAGGGGACTCTGTGTCATAGACAACAGCATCGTTCATCAAGATCTCATGTGTATAGGAGTTGAAACTAACAATGTCAGTATTGGTGGGATACTGACGCTATCACGCTTACCCTTGGCCAATTCTCATAGCAGCATGATACGGGGCAAGGTTGAGAGCCATCTTGTGAGTTCGCAATGACTATTGTGTCAAGACAGGCTATGCTGATGTTCGATGGAGTGTGATGAAAGGTTTTCTCAAGAAGAAGAGACTAGAGCTCTGCAAAGTGCAAGTTCCCGCTAGGTTCCCTACCCAAAGTCTGGCGGTGATCATATATTCTATTCATCCGAGGTCCTACTAGATATAATTGATGGAGCAGCTATTATTTGTGCATTCTCTAAACTCACACCTCTCTCATAAACCAGAGGAGCATATGCAATTGTCGCGAGTACGTAGACGTGTTACTTTGATCAATCCAGAGCCGTCGATGGCCCAGATTGGCTTCTAGTGCGGAACGGCCGGCTCCAGGAATATCCCCTGCATAGACTATTGGCGCACTATTGATCTCCACTTCCTTTACACACCTCTCAGTAGTTTATCTTTGTATCCGTAGCACCGAGCACATTTAGATTATGCCTAAGCGGGTAACATCTGTGAGCGTGCTTTTTAGGTGTAGTCAATCTCACCTTTTGTTCGCAATGATGCGGGGCACTTACTAGCCGCAGAGGAGCCTTCGTCGCTGGTCGGTCAAGGTGTTTCACTCACCGAGTTCTAGACTGTTCTTACATAGTCTTTGGTATCACCTGACGATCAAATCAGCTCTTTCGGGCATCGTATGATTATTCGATATCATGCATGGGATGGCAGCAAGCCATCACAATCCCCGTTCCATTCATTCTTTTAGGGCCACCAAGATATCTCTCTACAGAGGCCCGAACCGACTTGAAGTGGCAAGCCTTCTTTCCTGTGTTCTTATCAGTATTCCAATCTTCCTATTTCTACCATTACATCGTTCCTGCGTGCTGGAAGGGATCACCAGCTCCCATTTAATCTCATACTTTTCTTTCTGTATTCTCAGCATGGAAGCCGCTCATGATGCATGGCCCGCACCATCTGGTGCGCAAAAGAACCTTGGGCCATTATCCAAGCTGGGTGAATTGATCAAGGTAGACCCGGAGAGGGTCAGCGTGATCAACATTTATGCATATCAGCAGATCTCTTTCATCACTCCAGCAGACCTGTGGAATGCATTGGATGGCAAAGAACAGATCTTTTTTGTGGACTGTCAAGGTATCTTACGGCCCAAGAACTCACCCACTCAACCATCTGGATGTCATGGCTAATCTAAATATCACATTCTGTATGCATCAGACAACAAAATTGCCAAATGGATGTTTAACGGAGCCATTAAGTGGGATATAAATGACAATGACGATTACAAGAACGAAGAATTCTTCCTTAGACGCAAGGGTTACCCGGGGGGAGATAACCTTTTCCCTACTGATCCGCGCAGGTTGCCCGATGCGGTTATCTTCAACTGTGAAGTAGGCGTGAATCGTTCCCCTATGATGGCTTTCTGGTACATGAGGTATCTTCTCAAGACTTATCCATCAGTTGTCCCTGACAGTCAAAATGTGAGAGGACTCAAGACCAGGGTGTATATTCTGCAAGGCGGTATTGCGGGTCTCGAAAAGCCTGGGACACCAAAGGGCCTACAGAGCTCATGTAAGTGAAACTCCATCAAAATGGATGATTCCAGCTCCAATGCCAAAGGAATCATGCTAACCTGTTTCAATGTCGCAGTATGCAAACCATGTACGGAATCCCAGGCTGGCGGTTCTGGTAGATCTTTCGCTTCTCCCCCCCAACCCACAAACCAGAATAACACGAGGCACGTAACATCTGGGGTGAACAGACCTAATTGAGTGATTCTTGTGTTTTAAGCGTCGGGTCCGGTATCAAATAGTGGTTGGAGATGGCTACTAGATGAAGCCGATTCAGCCCTCACATCTGAAACGTGGGATCCTCGCGTGCGAAAGGATGGCAGTGAGTTACAATGATAGTCGTTAGCTAGATATGGAGAGAGCAGATTGGAGAATTTCTGCGATATCGATCATTTCACTATGACTATGCCTTTAACCTAGTGATAGTTGGTGATCCGCCCATTGAGTCAAGAGTGACAAGAGAGCACTAAATGATAGCCTTGTGTTACAAGACAGCCAGGCTCATAGTGAATGCTGGTCATCTGGTGATCCACTCGTGCTTAGTGTGACGCGTGATATACTCCAGATGAAGTTGTAACAACGAAGAGTTGTCATTAAAGCACAGAAGGCACGGCCTGCTTCAGCTGTTCATCGTTCCACATAAGAAGATCCAGAGGCTTCTCAATACTTTTTCAGAATCTAAAGGTTAAGACGGATATGTTAAACTAATGCTAAAATTGCGTTATTCACTTCGATATTGAGTCTGTTAATTCGAAGACATCGGCTAGAGATCAAGCAATGCGTATGTATGTCGGGATTGGCCCTGAATTTCAACTCTAGACGCCCCCAGTTGATAGTGGACGGACCTGAAGTCTCAATTCCGAAATGCATGTAGCAATCCGTCAAGTCTCTTAATTCCTTACAAGTGGCTCGCTTGCCCGAAGCTGAATGTCCGTCTCTAGCTTCCCTAACAGGTGATAGTGGTGCCTCCGGTGCCTACTACCTAATGAACTAGAAGGGCTAAGCTTTTGGCGCTCAATCCATCTAGCCCAAGGCAGTCTAGGTTCGGCACGGTACGGCACGGCCTCTCCTTGTAGCTGTTCGACTGTGGCGAGCTGCCATGCAAACGACCTGAGACATGCATACAAGTGCACCTACCCCGGAGACTCCGATAAAGAGCGTTGTGTTATTGGCTTTTTCGCTGGTAGCTGAGTACATGGGGTTGCGGAAGTCGGCACATAGTGAGTTGCTTAAGCGAGGGATTGAAAGCGTAAGAGGACTAGCTGTCGGCGGATTGCCTATCTTGGACTGTAATCCTTGCTGCGTCCTGTAGATGAAGCTGAAAAAGTATCGCTCGGCCTGCTTTACATTATGAACTTATACGGGAGCCAAGGGTGTCACGGTTTAATAATCGTAATATGCGCCCGGAGAATACTATTAAAAACCATGCAACCTAAGGGTCTAGATGTGTGATAGTGGCTGCTTCTGGCACGTGTCCTGGAGATTTAAACCTGCATTGATGTTTGCCTTCGTTGTCTGCTTTAGCGCGGGGTCAATCATTTCCTCCAGGGTTGGACTAGTATACACAGATTGCTCCAGAGAGGGCGTACTTCGAGATTTTGATACTCATTCGACCGTTATCATGTTCTCCCTGGCTAAGATATTCTCAGTCCAAACCCAGAGTATTAAACTCCAATAGCGTTAAAGATGTAATTCCAGGTTACAATATACTTAGAACCGACATATTATGTTCTTATAGTTGATATAAAAGTAATATTTATTTGAGCGCCCAGTGATCACACAACTGTTCTTTAGGCCTTGTTCAATCTCTTGGCCTCAATCTGCACCGACTCGGGAATCCACTCCTCCAAACTCTCACCCTCTGGTTTCCAACCAAGATACTTCCTCGCCCTCTTAGCCTCACCACGACTGTTCAAGCCCCACGAAAGAGCCTGGAAACCCAGCTTCTTCTGTGCCTCATCAACATCGAGAACCTTGGTCTCATCACTCTCAATAACACCCTGCTTCTTGGCCTCCTTGGCAATAAGAGCAGAGATCTGGCTCCATTTATGTTTACCGTTTTCAGCGAAAAAATATCCCTTTGGACCCCAGATTTCCTGCTCATCAGACTGTTTCTCAGATGAAGCTGCGCGATCAGAGAGAAGAACGATCAATTTGGAGAGATCGTGGACGTGCACATTGTCCCACTCTGTCTCGCCAGCGCCGATTATGGGACCAAAGCCCTTCTCGAGAGTCGTCTCGGTCAAGCCTGGGATTTGACGACTTCGCTGGTTGGCAGGCCCTCGGCCGGTTCCGTAGATGGTGGGAGGGCAGACAATGGCAACCTTTACGGCGCTGGGATCCTTGGCAGCTTCGTCGAGAACAATCTTGTCGACGTCGCGATGGAAAGCGGTATCTGGCAGAGAAGTGACCTTGTCAACTCCCTCGAGATCATTGTAAGCTTGTTCGGGAAGAGGACCTTCTCCGTAGCGCTTGTTGTCCATGTCATACGAGCAGAGAATGCCTGTGCCGCTAATGTGAATCCAGTAACGTCCATGATAAGCGAGTGTTACAAACACGTGAGTGTTACAAAAATCCCTCAACCTACAACATGTCTACGTCGTCAACTGTTTCTTCACCACCCAATATGCCTGAATTCAATAGTGAAGCTAATGTTATTCTCGCACTTCGTGCCCTTAAAAATGACCGAAAATTAACTCTCCGACGCGCCGCAAAGATCTATGAGGTTGATCCAATGAGACTATGGCGCCGA